GTTGCCAGGAGTAACCTATAGTGGTGGATAGTAAATAAATAGATAGAATAGATAGTTAGAATAGAATAGATAGTAAATAAATAAAGATAGTAAATATGCTGCCGCACCGGTAGTGTAGTCCTTTGAATTTGATGGTGGCGATTGCCACCGCCAGGGCAGAAAGGGTTAAATCAAAAATTCCATCCAAATCAGGATAGCCTTCTCCTTTGGTGTCCTTTGTGTGAGATTGTGCTCTCAAGTCCTTCCTGTTACGTTCATTCCTTGATCATTGCTAAAAAACAGTTCCTCTCAGAATTAAGCTAAGATTTTTTTCCACATTTTTCAATTGTATCGTTTCCAGGCTAACGACGAAGAAGTTGTGGTGGAGCCGAGCACTACCGCGCAGCCATCAGAGAGTGCCGAGTCGCGCGCATAGGCTTCTAATTAAATATTTGTTATTATGTATGTGCGATCTCTGTGATACTTCGTGGGTTCTGGGATGTTTTTAACGGTGTTACATTCGATTTTTGGTGTGATATTTGAGAAATTCATTCATGGTGGTAAAGTGATATGGAAAAGCAGTAGCTTATTCAACTTCTATAGTCAGCCTTATTTATAGCAGATAGAGTTTCCGGGTAACTCATCATTACTGCTTCTCCATCATCTTATTTCCTTTTATTGTGAAGGTCCTTCCATATAACTATTAAAATCGTATGCATGGTTGCTCGGCAGGTGGTCAGGCTGGGGCGATTTTGGCTCAACCATTCAAAATTCTAGGGATAGTTTAGAGTTCACCGCGCGGCGTCGTGGACATCTGCAGTGTATCACGCGCGGTGGGTTCGAGCGACAAGTGACGTGCATGACCGTCTCTGCCCTCTTCGAAGCACGAGCTATCTCACTCTTCTGCGCTCTCACACGTTTCCACGTTGAGCGGCTGAAATCTGCGCAATTTTTTGGCGCCTGGCTCGGAATAAATGGGTTCAATAAACAAAATTCGTTGAGAGCATACTGCATTAGCTTACGCAGATTGCGTATCCCGCAAGAAAACTGCGGATGGAGTGGTACCCCGAGGCCCAGAAGGCAGAGTCGGGCGAGACTGCAGCGCGTGTGGCGATTTGACTATTCAACGTGGCGCAAATCCTATACGTACGCGCGCGACTCGTCCGCTGACATTTGCCTTCTTGCCGCGCGACGGGCCTCCTGGCAGGGTCAACCGTCACGTTCGAACATTTTC